ACTTACAACGGTGCCCAGCAGAGAGTAAACAATAAGCACTTAGAAAGAGTCCATGTTCCATGAGCTGCTAACGGTCCATCCACACAGAATCTTCAGCCACAAGGAGTGACACGCTACAATGTGGATGAACCTCCAAGATGCTGCTGAGAGAAACCAGACACAAAGGCCACGTGTATGACTTCATTTATGTGAAATGTCCAGAACAACCAAATCTACAGACACAGGAAGCAGATTCGTGGTTTAAGGGCTGATGGAGGTGGGGATAGACATGGTTTCTCTTTAGGATGAAAATGTTCTGGAACTACGCCAAAACCGGTGTGGCTGTGGTAGAGTGTCGGTCTGCGGACGGTAAGGTCCCAGGTTCAATTCGGTTAAGGGCATGTACATTGGTTGCGGGCACAACCCCAGTAGGGAGTGTGCAAAAGGCAGCTGATTGATGTTTCTCATCGACGTTTCTAGCTCTCTATCTCTCTCCCTTCCTCCTCTCTGAAAAATATCAATAAAATATGTTTTTTTAAAAATGTTCTGGAACTAGATAGAGGTGGTTGCACAATACTGGGAAGGGTACCAAATGCCACCAAACTATTTTAAAAGGGTTAATTTGATGTTAGTGAATGTTACCCACTTAGGAATAATAAAAAGGACATTGGGTGAAAACAGGAAACCTGGCACTTGCCAATGTGGCTGTTGGTTGGGTGTTGTCCTGTGCACCAAAAGTTGCCAGTTTGATTCCTGGTCAGAGCGCATCCCGAGGTTGCCAGCTTGATCCCTGATGGGGGCGTGCAGGAGGTAACCACTTATTTCCCTCCCTCCCTCTCCCATCTTCTCTGTTAGGACAGAGCGTGACAGGAGGCTGAATGGCTGGCATGACGTCAAGGACGTCTGGGTGAAGAGGACAGCCTGCCCCCCAGGGGAGAGGGAGGGAGAAGGACCTACAATCTCTGTGGGGTCTCTCAGCAAGTAAGGGAGGCTCTGGGGTTCAGTCCAGCTGAGGGCTCTTTTGGGGAGCCTTTCTGCAGACTTGTGGACACAAACAACAAGAATAATTTTCTCGCCCTGGCTTGTTTGGCTCAATGGATAGAGCGGGGGCCTGCGGACGGAAGGGGCCCGAGGCTGGGTTCATTTTTGGTCAGAGGTACATGCTTGGGTTGTGGGCTCAATCCCCAATAGGGGGCATGCAGAAGGCAGCCAATCAATGATTCTCTCTCATTGATGTTTCTAGCTCTCTCTCCCTCTCCCTTCCTCTCTGAAATCAATGAAAAAATATATATTTTTTAAAAACCAACTTTCTCATTTTTAAGGAAAACAGTAAGATATCCCTGGATAGTGTTGCTGCACCCAGGCACCCCCCTCCAAGAATAGACTTCTAGGGTTTTCAGAAAAGGTTGCTTTTCCAGAATGTCCCTGGGGAAACTGCATCCTGGTCTCCATGGTGACAATGGAGGGAGGCCACTGCTCCACGTCCACATGCATTTAGAGACAACCTCCAACCCTGGCCAGCAGGGACACTCAATGTGCTGGCGGGTCACAACATGGAGGGACAGGACCCGGGGTGCTCACAGGAATGGTTTTCAAAGGAACAGAGAAGGGAGTGAGGCAGGGGGAGGCTCATGCGGACCCGCAGAGTATTTTTAGGCACTGAATGTAGCCCTGAAATATTTCCACGGCCACTCCCGAGCCTGAGCCGGGTGACTATTTCAGTGCCTGGTTCCAGTGGAGGCGGGGCAAGGATGAGTCACCTCTGGGTGACTGGGCCTAGACCCGAAGGGGCCTGCAAGGTGACTGCTCACCAGCCCAGGCCAGGCATCTGGTGCCAGCGGCTGGGGCATAGAGGACAGTGGCCTGGCCACTGCCCACCGGATGGCATCACTGCTCCCACCCCGACCCCTCAGACAATGGGCTGGAGATTTAGAGCTGAAGAGGGTCCTGGAAGAGGCTCAGGCACTCCACAGGTGCTCACCGAAGCACCACTGAGAGCTTCAAGCATGAATAGAGCGTTTGCTGTATACCAAGCATTCCCTCCTGTAACTGCCCAACAGCCCCGGGAGGTAGACTCAAGCCCGTTACCAGCAAGGCATGGCGGGGTTAAACCTGCAGGGCCCCTTATGGGATTGAACCCTGTCCCTCAGCTGAAACCACAGTAAGGGGAGGGAATTTTTTTTTAAAATGTTTATTTATTTTTTTTTACAGAGAGGAAGAGAGAGGGATAGAGAGTTAGAAACATCGATGAGAGAGAATCATCGATCAGCTGCTGCTTGCACACCCCCTACTGGGGATGTGCCCGCAACCAAGGTACATGCCCTTGACCGGAATTGAACCCAGGACCTTCCAGTCCGCAGGCTGACGCTCTATCCACTGAGCCAAACCGGTTTCGGCGGGGGGAGTGAATTTTTAAGCAGGAGGCTATCTTGCCTGCTCCCTGCCCCAACTGATTGGAGACTCCTGTGCTTGACACAACAGAACTGAGAGGTTAATGGACCCTCTTTGTTAAAGGACGGAACAGGGAGGAGCTGTGACCTAGGGTCTAGCACTCATCCTCTCTGTGCTGATGTACGGGAGCCCACCACCTGTTCTCTCCTCTCTTCCATGACCAGTGCCTCTTGTCCTTCCAGAGCTGGTTTGACGTGTCCCCTCATCGAGGCTCCCCCTCCACTCTATGGAAAGGTCCCTCGGGCCTGGACTTACTGTGGAACTGGCAGCTCATTTGCCTGGGTCCTCATGGCAGCCTTGCTCTTTGTTCCACCTCATGGCCTCCATGAGGGGCTTTACTGGTTTCTTAAAACCAATAAAGAAGTTCCGAGTCCGCAGAACTATCTCTTCCTGGTCTGGCTTCACCCTGGCCCTGTGTTCCAGAGCCTTCTATTGCTTCCCATTTCAGTCAGGGCCTGCACCCACTTCCTGCCCTCACTTTGCTCCCATCACCGACCTGCACAGCCTTTGCATGGGCTGTTCTCCATCTGAACTCTTCCCTAAGACAGCCGGCACCCTTGCCTCGCTCAAGCCCTTCTCACACATCACCTTCTTGCCTTCTCTGACCACCTCTACTTCCCGCTTTGCTTTCTTCTCCTCCAAAAGCACCTGGATGGGTTGTGGCCCGTTCCTGTCCTAAGCCAGCCCTCTGCCCCTGCTGTGGCAGTGCCTCTCCCATTGAGTGGACAGCAGGCCTTCTCCCCCTAAGCAGCAGCCCTTTGTCCACAGGGGATGGCAGAGGCCCTTGGAGCACATGCTGAGCCACTGGAGACAAGTACTGCCAACGCCAGGAGGTGCCTGGCACCAAGGTCCAATCGGATGGTGGGAAGGACAGCTGCCATCACACCTCCTGGAGGTGGTGGCGGTAGGTTCAGTGCAGGCTTCAAGGAGGAATGACTTGGCGGTGTGTGCAGGCAAGGGTGATACAGAAAAGCAACAGATACCTCCCAAACAGCTGTACCTACTGTATGTCCCAGAAAAGGGCTCTTGGCCCCAGGCTAAATCACACCTGGTTGAGTGAGGCTCCTGATGGCCACCAGGGGCAAACTCCAGGGGGAGGGGGTCACTGCCCCATTTGAGGATCCTGCATTGTCTGCCGAGAGGGCACAGGCACTGCTGACAGACCACCAAGACACAAAGATTGAGGCCCCTTTTGGCTTATGCCTGGGGAGAGATGACAGGACAGCTAGCCAAGCTGCCCTTTGGGAAGGTGAGGGCCGGGTGGACAGAGCAAAATTACGTAGACTTCCATGGACTGAGGCTAAGGGCAGTGTGGTGACCAGAAACGGGCTCATATCCCTGAACTTCAGAAGGATACAAGGTGCTGGGGGCCCCTGGGCGCTCCTGGTCCAAATCACAGTTAAACTGCCAGGAGCAGGCCTCCACGACTTCCCATCACAGCCCATGGGCTACTTGATCCCAGAGCCCCCATCTCTCAAAGCTCCACCAGACAGAACACCTGTGGCAGGAGCCCTGCTCCTCACCCCTCAGACCAGGAATCCTTCTGCAGAGAGAGAGAGAGATGATGCTGAGAGCTGGGGGTGGGAGCCAGCAGGCACCCACAAGGCCCAGTCTTGCCACCAACACTCTGCTATTTCGAAAGAACCATTCACACCAGAGTTCACCCAATAAGAGAAGGCAACTGACTCACGTAATGTTTGGATTTTCTTAAGCCTCTTCCCTCTTCTCCAAGACACCACCATCCACATTGTGTGAAACTCTTTGCCTTTCATAAGAACATGTAGAAGGACATCGTAAAGGTCCTGTTGGAAATGCTTACCCTCAGCGAGATGTGCTGCGGGCCTAGAAAGGAAACTTCTCATTATGTGCCCAGTGGTTCAAAAGAAACTTCGGATTTGTGGCTTGTAGTTGTTTTTTTATTTTTGTAACACAAAAGAGGGAGAAAGGCAAAGGAACAGAGCCCAACCAAGGCCCCACAACAGCATCTGAGGCCCAGGTCCGGGCGGATTTGTTTTGAAAAGACAGTTTCAGGTCTGTCCCAGGAAAACTCCCTGGACTGTCAACCTCAGTGCAAAGACCTTAAAATGAAAACTCCCATCTGTTTTCCACACGGGTCTAACAAGAGATACAAAACAAACCCGTTCGGAAAATGCCCCCGTTAACACAGGGGGAAGGCTCTACAGATGCATTAACACACAGAACCTTCCAGGAATCAAGCTGGCTGCGACTTCACAAAATCAAAACCAAATAATATTTCCAACTGTAGAAATGCTGGCTAAAAAAATAAAAAAATAAAAAAGACTTAATGCCCTGGCCAGTGTGGCTTGGTTGGTTGGAGCATTGTCCTGTACACCGAAAGGTGCAATTTCAATTCCCAGTCAGAGCACGTATCCAGGTTGCAGGTTCAGTCCCCAGTCAGGGTACATGTTGGAGGCAGGAGATGGATGTTTTTCTCACATCGATGTCTCTCTCTCTCCCTTCCTCTATTAAAAATCAATTAAAAAAAAAAAAGACAACATAAAAAGGACCACAAAATGCACAGGTGGGGTCCCCCAACACCTGCCTCTTCGTTCTGTTCTGAACAGACTCATGGACTGGAGCCTGTTGGGGAAGGGCTTAGTCTCTGGGGGTCGCCGGGCCAGCTCACTGTTTACCCGCCTGCCTGCCAGGCTTCTTTTCTGGCTGACCTCTGCCAGTGCCTGGGATCCCGCCTCTGCCACGGCCGCCAAACACACCTGCAGGACAGAAGTGAGGGCTGCATGGGAGCCAGGCTCCAGGGTATTCTAACCCCCCCGAGTCTCCGTGGCCCCCCTATGTAGAGTGGGGAAAAGCAGGCTGAAAATCTGGGATGGAGTGTCTGACCAGAGCTGGGTATGGGTGGTGCTCGAGAATGTTCTCAGTGACAGAAGAGACCAGATCCCCCAGGTTGCAAAGGGTATGAGGAAGGACAGAGGAGGACCACAAGTCACTTCGGGGCTTGGGTCAGGCTTCCTGGGAGAGAGGGACCGGGGCTGGGGTGAGTGGTCACTGGAGAGGGGAGCAGGAGCCAGCACAGGGGCAGGACTCTGGCCAGGGTGGAGCAGAGACCCCAACTCTGAGGCTGAGGTGTGCACCTGGGACCCAGGACCTCCTTCACACTAACCCCATCCTGTACGTCCAGAGACTAATGCTGGCATGGGTTGCCCCATCTCACTTCTCATGGTAAAGACCAGCTTTGCCAAGGTGGCTTCTCTTCAGAGTGGCCTGCGCAGGCCACTCCCCCTGCCCTCCTTGCTTAGTCGCCACTGGTACCCACCAGTGCAGAGAGCCTGGCCTCAGGTATCAGACAGGCCCTGAGAACGAAGGCCCACTGCCCCCCCATTTCTGTCAACCCTCCACCCGGAGTGCCCTCCTGCCCTCTTCCTGTGGTTACTCTGTCTGGCTGAGAGCTGGCTCCAGGCCTGGCATTCAGAAGGTCCACGCGTAAGGAAGAGAAAGGCCAGGCCACTCCAAGAACAGGCACCCCACCAGGAAGGCAGGGCTTACAGACGGCCTCTAGGCTCAGCCCCAGCTGACTGCACAACAAATGTGACTGTGTGCCAGGGTTGTCATGTCGAGGCAGTGAGGGGAGTCTATAAAAAAGGTGTGACCTTAGCATCAAGGAGTCAGGGCAGGGAAGGGTCCGGTGCTAGGCCCTGAGTTGGGGTCCTTGCCCGCAGCCTGATGAGGCGGGCACCACCAGATCCTCTCTACAGAGGGGAACTGAGACCTGGGGAGGTGCCATGCCCAGTGATGAGAGTTTAAAGCCCAGGTCTGCCTGGCACCAGATCAATCTGCTGGGCACCAAGGACTCAGCTGGGACCCCGAGTTGGGGTCTGGGATGGATGGCAGTCAGCAAAAGCCACTCCACAGAAGAGCCCTGTGAGTCACAGCTCCGCTGGCTCTGCTGCAGGGGCAAGGGGTGGGGTAGGAGTAGGGGTGGAGTTGAGGGGAGAGGCTCAGAGCCAGGCCTGCTGCACTGTGAGAGCACCAGCCAAGAATGTCAACACTGGGCTGAAATAGATGCCACGTGCTGCAGCCACTCGCTGTGTGTGTGTGTGTGTGTGTGTGTGTGTGTGTGTGTGTGAGACATACCTCGTCCAGCACCCCCCATGCCACGGCCTTTCTGCTGCTTCTGCTGCTGCAGGCCACCACGGCCACGACCCTTGGCCACCACCTCTTCTTTGACCATGTCAATGATCTCATCGGGGATGCGCAGGTACTTGATGGTGCTGCCGCGGATGTAGCACTCGGGCATGCGCCAGAACTTGTCCCCATCCTGCACGAGAGGGGGTGGGGATCTCAGATCCACGCAGGTCCCTTCAGAGTGGGTACAGACAGCTGGGTGCCACCTGTATCTCTGGCATCACCGCTGTAGGCTGCCAAGTTCACAGTCCTGGATATGACACGAGACCCCTCCAAAGGGTCCCAACAGACCCTCAGCACACGAGGAAGAGCAGCAGAGCTACATGGAAGACGGCGTCAACCTGTCCTCTCGCGTGGAATGGGATTTGTTACCTGCAGCCCAAAGCTCAGGGTGGGGGGCTGCCCCACGCACCAGGTGCTGCACAACCCACCTCCTGTCTGCTCCTGCTCCCCTCTCCAGTCCCCAGCCTTCTGGAACCTTTCCTAGGGAGGTGCCATGCCATGGCCAGACACAGGTAGGTATGGAGACGAGGGCACCAGATCAATCTGCTGGGCTGTACCTATAGCTGACTCATTTATTCATTCAACTATCTCCAAGCAGAGGCTGAGCTTGGTGTGGGACACAGGCCAGCAGAAAAGGACCCTATGTGACAGGTGAAGAAGTCCAGGAGGGGGGTGAGGAGGTAGGTATGGCGTTCGCCAGCATTAGCTCCCCAACATGCCCATTTTCAGGGGAGCTAACTGCGGCTGGAGAGACAAGGGGGCTACAAAGTAAAAACCCTGTGGTTCCTAGGACGCAGACTGCCCTTCCTCCAACCCCATATTCTGGAACCAGCTCAAGGCCTTCCCCTAAGTCCCTCCTGCTGCCCTTGGGCAGGAGCCTAGGGCCTCCTATTAGTTCCCCAGCCCCACCCCTACTGCCCAGAGCCAGAGGCCTGGGTAGCCTTTCCCCCTCCACGCCCTTGGAAATCAGACCAAGACCTCTCCCTGCTTAGAACCCAGTCAGGGTCTCTCGGCCAAGGACCAGGTCCAAACACAGTATGGCTCCTGAGTGCCCAAGATCCAGCCCCACCCTGGCTGCCCTCTCTGGGTACTCAGCACACCTTCCAGATGAAACTTTCTGGAACACACAAGGAGGGATTTCCTGCCTCTAGGACTTTGCACACCGTTCCCTCCTTTCTTTGTCCAGCTAACTCTGGTCCTTGACGGGGCTTGCCTTCCAGCTCCCTGAAATCCCTAGTCCTCTCACTTGACACTCACCAGCAGTCTGGTCTGGCCTAGCACAAGCATTCGGAGGGTCAGACGGAATATTCGAGGGCTAACTCTTCCCAGGAACATACATGAGCTCCTACCCCACACAGGAACCCCAGGAGGCCCTGCACATTCCTTTCCCAGAAAGAGTGGGCAAGGGGCCAAGTCTATGGGGATGCAAAGTACAGCCAGATAGAAACAGAAGGATTCCATGGCAGCTGGAGGCCAGGGCTGGGGCTGGCTGCTCCTTGATTGGCTCTCCCCGAGCCAAGGCCAGGCCAGGCTCAGTACGCTCCCTCAGTACGCTCAGTACACTCTGCTTTCCATGGCAGTTTAGCGCCCGGCAACCCAGGTTCCCTGGACTCTGCCATCCACTGCCCAAGGGATTTCAAACCTCACCCCAGCCTCTCCTCCCACCTGGCCACAGAGGGAACTGCCCAGAGGAGCCATGTTCCTAGGCTTAGTTGACTCTGGAGGCTGGACCAACTGTCCCCAACCCCCGTGGTTGGTTCTACAAGTGGACACAGACCTACCGGTCATATGCAGAAAGACATGCACTCCAGGCAGTGCATTGCAGCACTGTCTGCTAAAGCCATCATGGAGCTGCCCACTCACCTGCTGCCTGACACGTGACAAGAAAACCAGGAGGGAGCTCCTAGCTGATGTGGAAGCTCCACGGTGTATCGTTACAAGCACAGGTCACAGAGCTGTGCAGGTGAGGGAAGGGGTCATGCCCACGGGTCTGCCCTTTGGGATGTGAACCATGCGGAAGGACGGACCAGGGGTAGGGGGGCTGTCTTGCTGTGCTGTGCTCTGGCATGGCAAACCCTAGGGGCATGCTACCCTCAGGCTCAAGACAGCTCCAAGCTGGCTAAGGCCCCAGCAGCTTTTCCTCTGTAACCTGGGGTCTGCGGGCATGGGGACGAAGGCTGGAATCCAGGCAGGAAAGAGCCCATGCACGTTAGTGGGAGCGTGCCTGCCTCCACCGCCATCCTGGTCCTCATGGCTCCGGGGTCTTCCCAGCCTGTGACCCAGGGATACTTCCCCAGCCCTGGGAGCTCAGGTTCTGGCCCTGCAGTTCCTGGCTTCAGGCCTAGGGAGGTAAGCGAGCCTCTGGGGCCATTGGGCTGTCCTTACCGCCAGATACCCTATGGCCACACCACTATGGCCTGCAGCCTGGAACAGCAGCAGCCAAGGCTGAAGGAGGGGAGGGTCTGCCTGCCCGCAGACTTGTAGCCAGAAGGACCCTCCCTCAGGCCTGAGTCTGTCTTTGTCAGGGGTGGAAGCAGGGGCAGGAGGAAAAGGATAGCAGATCAGTGCCTGACCAGGAAACACCCCCACAGGTGCAAAGTCCTCACAGGTGCAGAGTCCAGGACACTGGGAGGCCCTGCTCCTCCCTCGGGCCCCACCCTGGGTAGGATGGCCTGTGGTAGGCTGACCTGCTCCTCCCAAAAGGTGCAGGGAAGGGCCTTCACTTCATGTGGAAACCAGAATGCTAAAGCTCTGTAAGCCTCTAGTCCCAGCGAGCATTCCTGGTCACACTGCCCCTACTCCCCATGCCTGCCCGCCTCACTCAATTGGCCCCAGGCCCCAGGCAGACTCAGCTCAAGGGTACTCACCCTCGATGTGCAGATCACCTCGCGCAGGTTGATGTTCATCCAGTTGTCACAGCTGACCAGGTGGCCATTGTATGTCTCCCCGTTTTTAAGCTCCACTAACTGGAGAGAAACGGGTCCCAAGTCAGCCAGGGGTCCCAAGGGAGGTGCAGTCCTGCCAGTAAGAGTAGCCCTAACCTCATTCAATATGTCCTCAGCTCCTTTCAGTACCCAGGGGCCACTGCACACAGCGCCTAGGCCCCAGAGAGGCCCATCTTACAGGGACATATTCTGCTTTCTCTGTACATTCTGCTGGGCATTTCTACAAGGAAACTTTTTTTTTTGGTGAGGAAAAAAAAAAGACCCAAAACCCAATAAAAACAACAAAGGCTGATTTAAAAACAAACAAACAAACAAACAAACAAACTCTCAGCCCTGGCCCATGTTTCTCAGTGGTTAGAGCCTCAGTACACTCTGCTTTCCATGAGTATCTAAGGGCCGAGGGTTCTATTCCTGGTCATAGCTGGGTTTCAAGTTTGATCCCTAACCTCTGATCAGGGCGCACGAGGGAGGCAACCAATCTGTGTGCCTCTCTCACATTTTTCTCCCCGCTCCCCGGAAAACTCTCCAAAAAACAACCAATGGAAAAAATATCCTCAGGTGAGGATTAACAACAAAAAAAAGAACCAACTCAGATATTTGTAAAGGAATGCATCCGAGTAAAAATGCACACATGAACATTCATAGTCGCCAAATATTCCAAATAGCCAAAAGATAGAAAAAATAAAATGTACATTAACTGATGAATGGATAAACACATGATGGTCCATCTGGAATATTATTCAGCCATAAAATACCACAATACGGATGAACCCTGAAAACATGCCGAGTGCAAGAAGCCAACACACAGGCCACATGTTATACGACCCCATTTTTATGAAGTATCCAGAGAGACAGAAAGTGGACTGTGGTTCTCAGGGACTGGGCAAGCAGCATGGGGAGTAACTGCTAAAAAGCACGGGGTCTCCTTTGGATGGAGGAAATGTTCTGGATCCAGAGAGAGGTGATGGTTGTGCCACACTGTGAATTTACTAAAGACCACTGCATTATTCACTTTAAAGGGCTGAGTTTTGTGGTATCTAATTACATTGAATAAAAAGCACACACATGTATTACAGAATTAGTTAATAACCTGCTGGGAAAATGACTTTTCTGTTTGACATTTTAATAAGCACTATTACTTTTGTAAGCAGCAACAATGCACTGGTCCTGACCCGTGTGGGAAGTAGAGAACAGCTGCTGTTTTGTCGACAGGCGGGGAAGCAGGTTTGGCCAGAGGCACCTCACCCTTTGCCCAGTGTCCCTGTCCCTGTGCTAAGGCTGGTCCCCTCTGACACTCGCTGTCCCAGATGGTACATACCATGGGGTGATTCTGAGCCGTCTTCAGCAGTGACAACGGGAGCTGAAATGCAAAAGTACAAATTTGTCTGTGTAATCAGCTCGTGGGAGCCCCAGGCTCCGGGCAGGGTCCCACAATAGCACCGGAATACAGGAGCACACAAGCCTGACCCCCTAAGGGAGAGGCATTCTCCTCCTCCTGCACAACCCGAGGACACACCTGCCTCCCTCTCAAGGCCCCTCTCTCCTTCCAGAGGCAGCTGACACCTAAGCCCAGGGCTATTTGCTTTTTTTAATAACTCCCACTGTACATTTTCCCTCACCCACCAAGCTTATCAGCAGCATCACAGGATACAGGTCTCTCTGCTGCTGTTTTGCTCAACTGATATTTAAGATGCATCCACATGGATACATCCAACTCCAGGTCTCATTCCCAGCACTGCATAGGACTACTGTCACACCCTCTTTACAGATGGGGATACTGAGGCTCAGAGAATACTGCCCAGCCCTAGAGCTGGTAAGAGAGAGCTCGGTTTGACTGACTGAAGCTGGAGGGCAGCCCCAATTGGACCAAGAATGACTCGGCCAAGCACAGTGGGGAGTCCACCTTGATCTGAAGGGGCCACATCTGAACTGGGTTTTCAAAGATAGGAATTCACAGGTTAGAGGAAGAAACATTCCAGAAAAAGTTTGTGGTTATTGCAAGGGATGGCAGACAAAGGGTGGAATCTTTTAAAGCTCACCCAAATAAGGTAGGCTTTTAAGGTATTTCTTTTTCCATCATTACTGGATTTCTTTTTAATAACAAACATGGTGCAACTGGAAAAAATCCAGCTCTTCTCATTTTGGGAACACATACACTGGAGCCACCTCTGGCTCTCCAGAAAGTGACTGAGGTTGTAGTGCTTGGGTCCAGGTCCAGAGGCAGCCCAATCAGTATGGCTAGATGAAGGTTCTGGACTAAGGACCCTGCAGACAGGAAACTGCCTCAGGGAGCAAGAGGTTCTGCTTCATCCTGGCCTGGCCTCACACACTCACTGGATATGGGGCAGCTGTTTCTCCAGGTGGCAGAGTGGAAAGCATCTCCTGTGGAGGCTGGAATGGCCCTCAGCCCCCCCAGTGTGGCTCTCCATGGAAGGGCCTGGGTTGGGGGCCAATCCGATATCCCACAGGCCTTCCCCAGAAGTTACCAGGGGAGGTCCAGCGACAACAGGAAGCCAGGCCCAAGCCCACTTCCTGCGCTGGCTTCCTGGCCTGGCAAGATAAGAACCGCCACGTGGAGGAGAGGCAGCTGCCCTAGGGAGGAGGGGCAGGTTGGAGACCAGCGTGGCCAACCCACAGCCCCTGCCCTCTCATTCGGGTGCATCTGAGTGACACTGCACCAGGCCGTGAAGGAGAAAACCCCCAGGAGGATCAGAATGGCAGGTGGGGCCACGCGTCCAGATTGCCTTTTACTGTGGAGACGCTGTGGGCTTTCCTGGGCAAGTGGGAATCTGAACCAAGGCGATGAGACAGCTGGGTTCTGCTCCCAGATCACCGGAAAGGGGAGAGGGTCAGGCTAGGCCTGGAATGAGAATGAAAAACGGACTCAGCTGCCAAGAAGCAGAGGGGGGGTCAGAGGAGGGAGCTGCCCAGGGAAACAGAAGGTCACGGTAAGCCAGTGAAAGGAGACGGATGCCTGTCAGCAAGGGACCCACAGTGTCTTTTAGGACATATACGACCCCTCCACTGATGACGGCCTCCCTCGGGTCACCACCTTGTCCCAGCTACTGCAGCACAGTTCTGGAGGCCCCGCATTCTCCACAGATGTCCCTGGCTGTGCCCTATCCAGAGTAGCCGAGGAGGTCTGAAACTCATAAGGGACCAGCACCTGCTCCCAGCCCTCCCGACTTCCCTCTCACTCACTCCCCAGGCGGGCCACACCTGACACGGATCCAGCAAATACGCCCATTCTGCTCGCACACCACGCAGGTTCCGATTGCTCAACCTTTGTTCCTGCGATTCCCTCCGCCTGGGGTGCCTCTCCCCCGGGGCTGGTTGCCGCTCCAACACCACCTCCCTCTGCCAGGACCTCATAATAACCCCATTTAGGAAACAAGGTTTCCACCTGGGCCACCCTCTGCTGTTTCCATTATAGCACTTAGCCAGTCTCTAATTATCTTGTTTACTTGTCTCCCTGGCTAGACTTGAAACACCACGCCTTTTGCTAGACTGGAAAACTCAGGAGGTGTGGAGTTTGTCCAATGCCAAGCATGGGGCCAGGCACACCAGGTGGACTAAGAAAATATTTGCTGAATAAATACAAGGGAAATACACATACTGCCCAGGAAGGTACATGCATTCCACCAGCCCCGCCCACCAATAAGGAGCTCAAGGGAGAGGTGGCATCCAGACAGCCCTCCACTGCTGCAACGGCCAGGAGCAGTGGGCCTGTCTTGCCATCTCCATCCTCATCCCCAAACTGTGCTGGAGTTGGAGGGGAAAAAAGAAGGGGAAGATACTGGAGAACTTAAAACTCAATGGAGCCAAGGCCGGTTGACTCAGTGGAGAGTGTCGGCCTTCGGACTGAAGGGTCCCGGGTTTGATTCCAGTCAAGGGCATGCACCTTGGTTGCGGGAACATCCCCAGTAGGAGGTGTGCAGGAGGCAGCTGACAGATGTCTCTCTCTCATCGATGTTTCTAACTCTCTATCCCTCTCTCTTCCTCTCTGTAAAGAAATCAATTAAAAAAAAAAAAAAACTCAATGGAAAAGAGAAGGTGTCAAAAGAAATGGGAGAGGGCCAAACAGTTCCGGGGAGACTGGAGTTGGAAAAGTCAGAAAAGCTAAAGAAAGAGGATTCCTTTCTGTGGGCTTTCTCACAAGGTTTGGAGTCTGGTTGTCAGATCTGGGCCAATCCTGGAGGAGACCCAATGGGCTCCTGAGGTCCCCAATTCAAAAAGCTGGCAGGGACTGTCCCCACACACACATACACCCAGCCCTCCGCTTCCAGCCGCCAGGAACACAGGGAACTGGGGAGGTGTCATGCCTTGTCTACTCCTGGGCACTTCCAGCTGAAACGATGGGCCTGCACTTTGCACAGGCACGGTCCTAGACTCTGAGAATGTATCAGGGATAGATACAAAGCTTTGCCTCCATGAAGCTTAAAAGAGGGATCGTTCTGCTCGTTTCCTCAGGCTGACTCTGCCTTCCAGCAGGGAGGAACCTGATCCCTCTCTCCTATGCTAGTCAGCAGCACTTGTGGGAACCTTTACTAACGCTGAGAAACATGCAGCAATGGTCCGAGCGACTCAGATGCTCAGAGGACAAGCATTCTCCCAGGAAGCCCAACTCTGAGTTCCTCCGTGGGGGCCTCCGTTTCCCTGTCAGGGTCTCAATGTTCCCTTCTGGGAATAAATACAAGGGAAACGCAGTCCGCTCCTGCCTCAAAATACCCTCTCTCCCCTGCTTTGTGATCCAGGGAGAAGAAAAACCCTTTTCTGGATGTTTCTCAGCCTGGAAACGAGAAGCACAGGAAGCTGTGCTGCAGCATACTAAGGACCTTGCAAAGCCCGAAAATGGTTAAATTGAGAGCTCAGACAGGCCCCCTACTTCCTCGCATCCCAGCTTCCCAATGAGGTTAGAGTGGGTCGGATGCACTCGGGGACACTTCCCTGCCAAACTCACGCTGCTGCACTCACCGAGCCCTTCTGCGGGTCCCCTTCCTCTGCAGCCTCAGTTTCCCCATCTACAAAGTGGGAGGAGGGCGGCTAAGTCGCTATTCTAAGGTTACATGTTCGTTCAACCCTGAGTTTTCGAAGACCGACGCGCTGGGTACCCTAGGAGAGCCTCCTGCCCTCTCTGGCCTCAGTTTCTCCTCCTCGGGCCGAGGGCGGGCCCCATTACACACTCCCTCCGCGTCGCCCCTGCCCCAGCGCTAGCCCCGAGGAGCCTGGGAGGCCGCGCCCCCGCCTCCTGGCGAGAACACGCCACCACCCTGCCCTCACCATGGTGGCGGCAGGGACCAGGCCCGCCGGTCACTTCCGCCGCGGCCGCCTCCGTTCACGCGCCCGCCGGTAGCGGCTCCGCCGCGCGCCACTAGACTGAATGGAATGGCAGCGGCGAGAGCCAATCCGCGCGGGGCTCAAAGGCAGGGCGACCAATCCGTGCGGAATAGGGCGGGGTCTGCTCGGCACGAGGGGCGGGCGGTGCCGTGTTCCGCGCCGAAGGAATGAGGGAAAGAGTCGTAAAGCGCCGCGGTGAGTGCTGCAAAAACGGGGCGGGCAGTGTGAGCCGGCTCTGGAGGCCTTGTGGGTAAGGGCGCATGCGCGTGTGAAACCCTCGCTGATGGGGCTCCACACTGTGGGCAAAACTGGTTATTCTTTACACCTTGCAATTGGAGAAACTGAGGCTTCACGGTTATTAGGAAGCGCCTTCGGACTCCTAACTCTAATTTTTTTTGGGGGGAGGGGTGCCTCCTACTCTTCTGATACTATTGTAGTTGGTCCTTATTAAGGCACATGTTTTAGTAAATTGCCCCTCTGAGACTTAGTTATCCACCCGGTAAAACCAGTGTAATGATAGTGTCTACTCTACAGAAGGTTTCAGTGAGAATGAAACGAGGTAAGCCATATGAAAGCACTTTGGACAACTTCTGGCACACACTAAGCACATGAATGCACGGGCCATAAATATGTACTGAGCACCTACTACTTGCTTACTCTTGGAAACACAGGTGAACAAACCTGACAGAACTGGCTTTCCTTGGGGTTAGGAGGTGGTTGGAGAGACAGACGGTAAACAAAATGAGTAGGTAAATGTATTCTTCCCTTGGGCTGCTGTAACAAATTACACAATGGAAATCTGAAATCAAGGTGTCAGCAGGTTTGCTTCCTACAGAAGGCCCAGAGAGACAATTCATCGCCTGCTGCTCTCCCAGCTTCTCTAGTTGGCAAGCTTTGTAGTTCTTGGGCTTGTGGACACATCACTCCAATATCTTTCTTCACACGGCTTTCTTCTGTGTGCCTGTGTCTAAATCTTTCTCTCTTTTCTATTACATGGACATTCCTTTTTCTTAATAAAATCACTCTAAATCCAGGATAATGTCACCTCAAGATCCTTAATTACATCTGCAAAGACCTTATCTATATATATGAAAGGCTAAGTGACCAATGATACATAAGTCTGATCGTCTGACCCCCTTGGTACATATGACACACACTGGCAATTTACCTTTTTTTTTTAATGTTTTATTTATTTATTTATTTTTATTGATTTTTTACAGAGAGGAAGAGAGAGGGATAGAGAGTTAGAAACATAGATGAGAGAGAATCACAGATCAGCTGCCTCTTTCACACCCCCCACCGGGGATGTGCCCGCAACCAAGGTACATGCCCTTGACCGGAATCGAACCTAGGACCTTTCAATCCGCAGGCCAATGCTCTATCCACTGAGCCAAACGGGTTTCGGCCACACTGGCAATTTAAAAATAAACATTGACTGCACACGCACCATACATATAAAGCTCTCACTAGTGCCAATCACATGCAACGCCAGAATGTATCTGAAGACCAATTATTCGCACTTTGTTATTGTTATATCATATTGTTATTTATTTATTAACCAATTTATAATTCATTGTTTATGTCCATGTTGTTTTTATATCATGTTATTGTTTATTAATCAATTTATTATTTTCATATACATTTTACTAATTTTATTTTTTTAATATATTTTATTGATTTTTTACTGAGAAGAAGGGAGAGGGAGAGAGAGTTAAAAACATCAATGAGAGAGAAACATCAATCAGCCGCCTCCTGCACACCCCACAATGGTGATGTGCCCGCAACCAAGGTACATGCCTTTCACCAGAATCGAACCCTTGAATCTGCAGGCTGAGCTCTATCCACTGAGCCAAACCCATCAGGGCCATTTTACTAATTTTCTTTCATCTCTGACATTTCTATTATAGAGAAAGGGTGAATAGTGATATTCAAATATTTTGTATTTTAATTTTATAATACTATATATATACTATTTTGACATGTAATGTTTTGCAGTAACGCACAAATCTTTCTTCTGATTAATTTACTTTCAATGTGCACGAATCCGTGCACTGGGTCACTCGTTTCAAATAAGGTCATACTTACAGGTACCGGGGCTTAGAACAAACCTGCCATTATGCTAGTGGATTAGCCAATGACTGACCCCATATAAAGTGCCAGACACTTGTTACCAACAGTTGTCCTTCATGCTTTAGTCTGGGGGTCCTGAGATGAGTACTCAAGGTCACATAGTGTATTCAGGGGGTGACTCCAGGATGCCCCCACTGGGGGTGGAGACCTGATACAGGAAGGGAAGGAGCCTGCAGGGAGCACCAATAAGAAGCTGACACAGAAAGCAACCGGAGGTCAGTCCAGCCAGGAACAACAGCATCAGAGCTCATGGCTCATTGTGGTCCCATCTAGGGTCAGGGCAGCTGAAGCAATTATTCGACAAGTCCCATCTGCATCAGTTCAGGGCTTCCCCTAGGGGAGCTGACGAAGTCTGGGATCTGTGCAGGATGTCGACAGGCAGCCAACAGCGATGCCCCCACTGTTTTAGGGGGATCAGGGTGAACTGCCAAACTTGGTTTGTTAGGGTAAAGGTTACTTGATGTAAACAACAGAAACTGGGGTGCATGAAGTGTCCCAGCATTAATATGGTGGTGGAAGCAGGAAAATCTTGTGCTGGATTACTCCTTTCTGAATTTCCTATGCAGAGGCTTTCTTCTTTTTAATATTTTTTTATTGATCTCAAAGAGGAAGGGAAAGGGAGAGAGAAATGTCAATGACGAGAGAAAAATCCTCCATCCTCTGCCTCCTGCATGCCCCCTACTGGGAATACAGCCGTATATGCCCTGACGGGGAATGGAACCCTGACTTCCTGGTTCATAGGTCAGCGCTCAACCACCCAGCTGCAACAGCTGGGGGAGGGAGGCTTTCTTCTTTTGCCCAATTGGCAAACTCCTATTCCCCCTTGAAAATTCTACTTGGGTGACCCCGTGCGGTAGACTGAGGTCACTGCGGATTTTGTAGGTCCTTTCAACATAGGGTGGCCAGAGTTCTCCATTCCCCTGGGCACAGTGATTGATTAAAAGAGAAGCACATGATCAAGCAAGGCCAAATAGAATCTCCCTTGAGTCCAGCTGGCTTGGTTCAGTAGGTGAGGTCACAGCTCCATTCCTGGATTGCTGGCTTAATCCCCAGTGTGGGGTGGAGGCAGCCGATCAATGATTCTCATTGGTCTCTCTCTCTCTCTCTCTCTCTCTCTCTCTCTCTCTCTCTCTCTCTCTCTCTCTCTCTCTCTCTCCTCCCTTCCTCTATAATAATAAACAAAAAAACATTTTTAAAAAATATATAATCTTGCCAAAATCGGTGGATAGAGTGTCGGCCAGGTTCGATTCCAGTCAAGGGCATGTACCAGTGGGGGGGTGCAGGAGGCAGCTGATCGATGTTTCTCTCTCATCGATGTTTCTAGTTCTCTATCACTCTCCTTTCCTCTCTGTAAAGAATAAATAAAATATATTTTTTAAAAATAGAATCTCCCTTAAGAGAGACACTGAGGGTTAGGAGGGAGAAGAGTGATTTCCATGGAGGTTGTTAAAAGTGAAATAGTGAGACTTAATGAAATAGTGAGATTTACAAGCGCGATAGTGAAAACCCAGTGCTATGAGGTTCCAACATACACAAGAATGCAACATACATAAGAGCTGCTTGGTGGACAGGGTGGCATGGTTTGAGCCCCGGAATCCAGCTGTACCTAAAGCCATTAGGTCTAACTTTCCATTTATGTGAGCCCAAGAAGTTCATTATTGCTTCATCCACTTGGAGTTTGGATTCTGCCCTGGCAATGGTCAGAACCTGCACTCATGCGTAGCTGCTTCATGGACTCTTCAGTGATTGGCCCCAAAATCTAATCATTCCCTGTCTTATACTTTGAACTTCAGTACCTTGCATAGATTTTCATCTTTACCTGGTATGTGGCAAATTTAATTGTGCTTTTGCACACTTAGGCCTTATGGACTCTGACCTGGAGCAAAAACATGAGAGGTTGCGTGAGCCACTATTTGAGGTTGTCAGCATGGTTCCTTCTCCCCGCTCATCATCTGTGTCCCTGGCTCAGCCGATTAGAGAGCTTCCCTAGGCTGGTGCTGGAATTGCGGTTAGAGTAATGTGATTCAGGGACATAAATGGCCATCTCTCCACTTCAGAGTCTTGGCCCTGTGTAATTCTGGATCTGGCTGTACCCGATGCTTCATGAATCTCCTGCCTTTCTTAGCTCTTGAACCAATACTCTTTTTTTTTTTTTCATTCCAGTTGAAATTGTATTTCTGACAGCAAAAACTTAAAGAGGACCAATGTACCTAACAAATTAACAAAAATATCCTACCCTCCACTAAAAAAAAGGAAGGGGGCGCATTGTAAAACCCATCGTCATTGTGCTCGCTAGCTGTGAACCCAGCTTCTGGCTGAGCACACAGAAATGTGTAAATACAATACACACAGTGGGGGGTGCACTGGCCACCATGGGGTAGCTATTGCATTGAGCATCTGCCCCCTGGTGGTCAGCGTGCATCGTAGTGACCTGTCATTCACTGGTCCTTCGGCTGCTCAGCTGATTTACATATTGGGTTTTATTATCCTACATAATAAAGAAGCAATATGCAAATTGACTGTCACACCATCACAAACATGGCGACGCTCATGGAGGGGGCTGCTCCATGCACCTGCCACCGTATTCCCCTCAGCCCCTCTGGCAATCCCACTGACTGACAGCTCGCCCAGGCTCCTCCAATGAGCTGCCCATCCCTCTCTTCCTCCCTCCCCCGAAGCTGAAGCCTGA